GTACAGGGAAAAGCAGCGAATATGAGAAATGATAGGGAAATAGTTTACTTCCCGTTGCTGTTAAAAGTGAAGTTTAAACACAGTGATAGATATCTGGAGGATATAATATCCTGGTAATATAACTAAGGGTAAGTTAAGGGAGTTGTAGGCAACTAGTAAAAAACATCAGCTAATCTTGGACAAAGACCAGTTTCCAAAATATTAATAGTCTTACCGAGGTAATACAACCGATGAGAGTGAGGTCCATTCTCATCCTTCTTTTGCACAAACTGGAAGTCGTGGGGAGCCTTGTTTGCAATCATCCCGGAGTACTTCCTGCTACAGTGAATAATGTCACGAAGCCCTTCCCACGAGTGTTTCTCCACGAAGAACTGGGAGGGAACATCCTCCATCTCCACCACCTCTGTACTGTCTGAAAGGCCGTCCACAGCCATCATGCTCACTGTCAAGCAGCTAGATGGAGACACAAGCATCTAAACTCTAAGCCACAACTTAACTTTTATGTTCCTTTAAAAGGACCTGGTCATAAGATCATAACCATCCATCATATTACACAAAAGGACAGGTTATGTGAGCCTATGTTATATGACACCCCACCTTTTCCAGATATCCTCCTTATTGTCACAGAGTTTGACCCTCTTGACTCTATGCATTCACCGGTCCACGTGCCACACCTTGAATCTGTAACCTGCAAATAAACAACAGATATAATCATGAGAATAAAAAAAGAAAAAGAAAAATACACATTCCAGATTTGAAATCTATATCTAATGATTTGCATAAGGATTAAGCAGTATCATTTTTCTGAAACAACTGGTGTACAGACAATACTAACAATTTCACTTATGGCACAACACAAAAAAGTGCAACGTGACAACCCCACAAAAACATTTACCATATGATTTAACCAGGGCTCTGTTAACCTTTCATAATGCATAATGTGTTTTTTAAGAATACCACCAGAGGGCTGTATCTAATAAACATCACATTGTGTAAAATTCTATGCATACCAAGAGCAAGATCAGTTCATTGACACTAAAACAAAAAAATAATGTAAAATATTAAACACCAAACTTCCACAATACTCAATACAACTAGCAACTTTTCATATGTTAAATGTTTGGTCATCTATATATCAATAGCATTAAGGTGGGATAGGAATAAGTACATTATGGGGTAACTCCTACTTTTGCTAACTGGTGATAACAATGTTTTTGTCAATTTTACCTAGCCCTTCAGTGTTGTTGACAAAAAAACAGGCAGCTCTGAATAGAAATACTTTCAGAATAATAACGAAATAGTAAATAAATAAATAAAATCTAAAATTACAATAGGCAGTGATTGAAAGACAATACAAAGAGATCCCTAAAATGAAGGACAATGAAAACAATTTAGATTCGATTGATGGGACAGAATTCATGACTACAAATGAGATCAAAATCAACTTCGTACGAGAGATATTGAAATCGACACTCTTAACATTTTGCTTGAACTGAACGTGGTCAGTTTTTTTTACCCGTATAATAAATGGAAATAATTACTCATCTACTGGTGCCACAAAGGGCCTGTTGGTTCTGTTCTGTTCGTAATGCATTACCAAAAGTGACTTGGTTTAGAAATGGAGAATAAATTAAGTTAAACATAAAAAATTATGTCAGTTAGTGTAAAGACTGCGCTCTCCTACAATGGAGCTTTGTTCTCCAGTTTTAAGCATTCAGTCATATTGGAAGAAAAACACCGGTAAATTTATCGAGTTAACACGTTTAGCGTCACTAACGTCTCGTAGACGACAGCAAAAGAAAATAATTAATCCTAGGTCAGTGACAGTTGGATATTCTCGACTATTTTGCTTAAGTGCTGCTATCCTGTTTTGACAGGACATCTTTCATCTGTCATTTTTCCCTGTAGCTAACAGGCTACACACCGCTAGCTGACGAGCTAAATAATGCTATCTAGCCTGTAGCTAACGGTTTTTGTTTTGTGTAGATAGATCAGTATATATTTGAAACAATGAGAAACAATGGGAAATACTCACCAATGTGGCCACTGTTTCTTTCAATGGGTTATATACCAATTTAGCTAGGTGTTAATAAACAGATTTTGAAGTGGCTAAAGGTTGTATCCATGGCCCAGAGTGGCCACACACAAAATGCAGCTGGCGTTTCGATCGGAAGGGAGGAGGAACGTTTAGTCCGTGGCCGGAGTTTCCGGTCGGTGCACTTTGAGTGGCGCACAACCGCTCTGGTCAAGGCGTCGAAGGCACACTGAGGTACAATGTGTGAAGACTAAATTTTATGACATGCAAATCAAACTCAACACCATAACTTTTATAATGATCCTATTATGGTTTACATTAAATGACAATATATTAGCCAGTCCCAATTTTATTTCATATGGAAAATGCTAAATTACTGTTTTATTTTAAGGCCCTTCGCAGTTGTGAAAGTACTTATTATATTTACGCAAATATCATTAAAAAGGAAAAGTTATGCAAGACATAGTTTATAGTATATACAAATGACTTCGTTTTGGGCAATTATACTACCTTATCCAATATTTTAAAATGTCCTGGGTGTGAAGACCTGAAGTAAGACATATCTAGCATTTATCGCAATTCAGGCAGAAAACCAGAATTCTTATAGCCTGTATTTTTATAAATATCACCAAAATGTTTAAAAGGAAAGGGAGATGTATTGAAGTAGTATAGTTCTCTGGGAGATATTTCAGTCCATCTGGAATTTTGTAACCTTTTGGGGATGTAGAGAATCATATAGTGTTTTGAAAAGTAGGTGTTAGTAACCATACTGACATGTTGTAAGAACTGATAAAAAGGGATCCATACCAGAAAATGGCCAAATAAAAATTTACATAACCTCTAAAATGTTGAATAAACAACAACAATTAGGAAACCAACAAATTTGATGGCCAAATAAAAATTTACATAACCTCAAAAATGTTGAATAAACAACAATTAGGAAACCAACAAATTTTATATTGATATTAAATTGTATTAATTTTGTATTAGCAGTTCAGAGCTGAGTAAAGCTAGCATATTGAGAAACAAACTGGGGCATAAATAACACTTACTGGGTCTACTTTAGTGATTTAGCATTTTTCACCCTTTCTAGAACATTTTGGGCCAAGTTCTGTCCCTTAATTTATACCATTAATTGACACCCACATTTGTCTATATATATATGCATTTCACTACCATTTGTCCAGCGTTTACCACTGATGGTTTATACGTAGGTAATACATTTGAATAATTCCTACCGGATTACATTCTTCAACGCCACCTTGAAAAACAAATATTTTAGCATTTGTATTGTAATGTCAAATACAGCTGGAAAGACAGTAATTGGGAACCCAGATTTTTGTTTATTTATACAAATAATACAGCCAATCTACTTCAGAGGGATGAAACGTGAAGAGTGTGTGGCACCAATACCAGGGCGACCGTGCTTGACTGGCTTGTAGGTGATGGAGAACTCGCCCAAGTAGTGGCCGCACATCTCAGGCTGTGAAGAGGCAACAAACACATTCAATACAAGACAAACTCATGGGTTTGTAAAGTTAAGCAACAGCACTGAAAGGTCATGATTATAAGGGTTTCACAGTTGAGGTCTAATTGGTCAATTCAAAACTGTTATGACATGCACCAATATTATGTAACATTACAGCAGATATTGATTAGGAATTTTCACAGATATTGATTAGGAATGTTCACAAAAACTACATTATTTTCTCTATCCGGCTTTAGTCATTGAATGTTCTCCACACAATGTTAGCACATTCACATCCAAATATAACAGATTTGAACTGAAGACGTAAATATTTAATAGTTTTTTGATATAGCACGTAGCTTATTATCCTTCTTTGTATGCTAAAAGACAAATGATCTGTTTGATGGTTCACAGAAAAATGGTCTATGACTTTAACAATAAAAGATCCATCAAGTGCAAACTGAGCAGACACCATTTACCACATTACAGAATGGGTCTAACACAGGTAAACTGCCAGAACCAAATTAATGTAAACTTAATGATGTCCAAAGGTTTCCTGTGTTAGTATCAGAGATGAGGTTTTTACTGACAGTAACGGACATATTAATAAGACCATATATCATTACTAGCACACACCACAATGTTGCCTCACCTTAATTTCAACCTGGTTGAATGTTTTGCCGTTGTACACACCAACCATGGACCCAACCATCTCAGGCAGAATGACCATGTCTCTCAGGTGGGTCTTGACCACCTCTGGTTTCTCCATGGGAGGAGCCTCCTTCTTTGCCTTACGCAGACGCTTCAGAAGGGACTGCTGCTTGCGACGCAGACCACGGTTAAGCCTCCTCCTCTGGCGTGCACAGTAGAGCTGCATAAGCTGCTCACTGAAATGAAGAGAGAAGACAGTAAGGTCAATAATGGGGAAAAAAAACACCAGGAAGTTTCACATATGCACATTACAACTGCCACTATCCTGTCATGTACAGGGTGATTTGAAAGAACAGGAATACTTCAAAAGTATACACATATCACATGCATGACTATACTGGTTATATTCAATGAGTCAATCAATTTAAATGGCACTGAGGTAAACCAACGACATTACTATTAAACACTGTTGCAAGACCATCTGGGCTTGACACTTGTTTGTATGCGTTGTTTATGCTGTAGTACATTGCGAATTTGCATTCAGCATTTCCAACAATTTGCACTGTGTGTAACTGCTCCCATAACAGCACCAACACGGTTGACACTTACTAGGACATGTCCAGAAGCTGGTCCAGGTCCACACCTCTGAAGGTGAACTTCCTGAAGGTACGCTTCTTCTTGATGTCGGCGTCTGCCTTTAAGAAAAAACATGTTCCCGGATGAATATGCTACCAAACGTTAGCACAGAAAGCTAGCTCAGACGGTAGACTGTCCTTTTGTATTCAATGTATATGCGAAGAACGTCTTATCCACCAAACAACAAAACAAACAAAACTGAAGGTATCATTTATTCCCTATAGCCAAACAATAAATTGTTTGAATTGTTGCGCCAGCACAGCCGCAATCGGCTATAGCTAATGGTGCTAACACGTAACCAAAAATTGATTAATTGGACATTTTAAACTCCAATTTCTAGATTAATTAATAACGGACATAAATTGTTAACGGTTGACATGATCAGATTTGATAAACATTTGCTGTAGAGCTCAGATGTCTATAGATAGTACTTCGTTTGGCCCCAGAATGAGTTCAGTACCTACCATCTTGCCCGAAGTTCCGGTAGAGAAAGAACGGCTTCAACTCTCGTTTGCTCTGGTATCGCGCGATTTGAAGTAAACATCCGGTACTGTTTTCCGATTGTAAACCGATGCGGTTTATAAAACGTTAGATGGCGCTGTTGTACCACAGTAAAACAGACTCAAACCTAAGTTTCTGAGCAGTTTCGTGTTTCTACCAACGTGTCCTATTTTCATTAAGTACAGTTTAAATATGTGAAAGAGGAAAACAGATTTAGTAACAAAAAACAACAAAACGTCATAGATACGGAAAGACCTAACTGTACTGTATGTTCCAAATTTATATCATGATTTTGTTTGTTTTTCCCCTTTTTGCTTTTCTTTTTTTAAACAGCCTTGTGAGGTTAGGGGAAATACTAATATTTTAACAAACACAATAGCCTGTTCTAGCCTGAATGCTCTAGTGTTTGAATCTTCAATGTCAGCAATTGTTCACATTTTTTTACAGCATCAACAATGATAAGGTCCACTTTATCTAGCAAGTAATAACCTTTTAGGAAAGCCAACACAAGTTTAATGATTAAAACTAAATTTCACTTTGTGTGAGGTTTTACTGAGTGAGTCTGGATGAAGCATAAAATGATTCATAAAATTGAAAACCATTGAAACCAAACGCTCAGGGGGAAATGTAACACAACGGTAGCTTTATTGGGTTCATAAGCTACCTTTAAGGATTCTTAAAGGTAGCTTATTAAAAATAAGCTGGTTAAAAATTAACCACAAACAACAAAATATTTTCCTAAGGCAACTGGAGTTAAGAAAAACTTAAATCTGAAACAATGAGAAACAATCTGAAAGTCAAATATTCTACTCAAAAATAGTTAGCCAGCCAAAGGTAAACAATAAAATAAACAAGAATTCTCAGTATCTTTATGAGTTTATGTAAAAAAGCAAAGCTAAATGTCAATAACTTCACACTTGCCATCAAATAAATTGTAAGACCTGACATACTGTAACTTTCTTTTCTCCAAGTAAGCTGTACATTCACTGAAACATCACTAATGTCACTATTTTCTAAACCACATAGTTTTACAGTTATTGTCACATGAAGTTTAACTGTTCTACAGACACTACAGACAGCCTGTAAGTGTATATTTATGAGAATGTAGGAATAATTCATGATGCTGTTTTTTCATTAATGCCTTTTTACATCACTTACCACCATAGACAGATAATCTTTTCCCCCCTCAACAAACCCACAGGACACCAGCTAATGAATACACATCTTTATTACACAGTATTCACAATAACAATATTTCATTTAAAAAACATTTTTCTCCATTGGCATCATCATTCCAGAGGAAAAAACATGGTCCAAAATAAAATGTTATTCAGAGTAAAAGGTACAAAAGAGCCCCGATGGGGGGGAAAAAAACACAAATAAGCATAAATAACAAATCAAATATAATCATGATTGGTTCACAAAGCAACCAACACTTAGGAATGATTCACTTAAAACATTCTAGCTTGGAATGTTTCAGAACTTCACTTGTGTAATATTTCATTTGTACTCGAGATGCACTGTGTGTGTGAGATCCAAAGAAAACAAGCTCGACTCCAGTTCGACGTCTTATGGAAACAGGAGAAAATATTTCCTCCCCTTATGAAAAAAAAAGAATGAAATTGGGATAATCTGAGATGAGATTAAAAAAAAAGACATTTTATTCTCTCATGTCTTTTTGGACCACTAGGAATTGACTCTAATGTTAACGACCAATACTGAAAGAATGAAGAGGATACTGAAGTGACAAATACTAAAAGTGAAGAGCATATTCGTTCACAGAGATGACGCAGCAATGATGGATAAACATGGTATGGTATTTTAATTGTTTCCCTTTACCCTTGCTTCCCCTTAAACAAATCTAATTAAAAGTATGTAATTATAAAAAAGGGGCAATGGGGATAACAAGGAGGTGAGGGCGGGTGCAGGGCTATGGCACATTAGAAAATCCCTGGAATAAATTTATCAAGCCAATAAGATTGACTTTGTTGGTCACGTTAAAGAGAACAAAAATCACAAGGATACAGTTCATCATGATATGTGTGACACTGGTCTAACACAACTAGAGCAAAGAGTAAAAACAATTTCATACAAAACTAAAAAAAAAGGATGAATGACTTGGTGCAACATCCTGCCAATGTATACAAAAGGATAACCTGTCCATCTTGAGGTCTTTTTGCCGATTATGCCTTTTCTACAATCTCATTCCCTTCCTTAGCACTCACTCCTCCTTCCTAGTAATCCGTCCCGTCATCCTGGTACACCTGCTCCTCCTCCTGGTAACCCTGGTAACCCTCATCCTGATAATCTGGGATGTAGTCACGGACGCCCCCTGACCCATTTTCGTCACCTGCCACCTCTCCAGGTTTAGGGCAATACTTGGAGTCAAAGATCTGCCGCCCCAGGCCAAAGTTCTGGCCGCTCTGGCTGGCTCCCTGGTTGTAGCCCATCTGTAGGGACATGGTGGTGTTGTCGCACTTGTCTGTACCCAGCTTCTGGTCATAGATTGCACGCCTCGTGCCTGGAGCGGTCATCCCAGCCTGTTGCAGAAAATAAATGAGAGGGACAATAAAGAAACTGAGAGATTTTCTTTCTTTCACTCCATCACTGTATGACATCTTTTCTTTGGTTGTTGATAGAAAGAGTCTAAAAAAAGCAAGGATTTAACTGAGCCCAGTGTAAAGCCAGTGTTGATAATCCAGAAGGTTGCAGCTCCCAGCAAGGCTGAACATGACATGGGTTTACAGCAGTGAGGGAACAGGTAACAACTGATTCCCGGGTGCTTCCTGTCACAGAAGCCCAATAAAAGTACATGAGTTATGAGATGTTGGAAATGGGTCCCAGTACCTGGCTCGCCCCCTTGTTGGTGCCCATCTGCAGGCTGATGGTTGTGTTGTCCATTGGAGCCTGGATATGAGCTTTAGGGTCATACAGATGCCTCCTGGTTCCGTATGCATTCATTCCAGCCTGACTGGCACACTTGTTAGTTCCCATCTGAAGTGGCAACAACAAACACAATGAGTCATGTATGCACAAGGTGATTTCTCTCCTCCCCCCTCCCCCCAACGCATTTTGAAAATAAAATAAAAGTCTCATTTGGTTTGAGAAAAAAAAAACCCTAAAAAAATAACAAAAAAATCTACTAAAATGTAAATCTAACTAAAATGGGTGCATTTGTATTCCAGTAATTAAACACTAATTAAAGTGTTATGGGAGGTGTAGTTGGCCCTTACATATACAACACTGGCTGCAGTGGCTCTTTAAGACCTCTGTCTGACACACTGTAACTTCCTCTTCTCTAAATGAGCTGTACATTCACTGAAACTCCATTAATATCACCATTTATTAAACCGCTCTGGCTAATAATCCACCTGGCCATCCATTGACCTCTGTGAGCTATATCAATCCCGTCCAGTTGTTTTTCAATGCAAATATGTGGTTGTTCTAGTCTAGTAGTTAGCTTCTCAATGTCTCCATCTCTACTCAGTGACCATTCAATTTTAAACAATGCAAATGAACAGAACAAACAGTCTTCATCCGCTGTTTCACAACTGCACTGTGACAAATGAAGTGCAGCCAAAAAAAAAGTCTCACTACCAAACACCGCACAGAGTGCAATGTGTTGAGCCATTGACCACATAGAAGATTGCTCCACTGTGACAGCCCTCATCACATTTATATTCAACATACTTTAGGTGACAGAAACAAATCACACAGGCTTTAAGAGGCCACTGGAACAATGGACAGCACTCAGAAACAAGTATGTGATGTGTGTGTGTGTGACTGACATGACATCATGACAAGCTCTGGTTTTGCAATAGTTTCGCCGCATGTTGTAACAAATAGAAATTGTGTGAGTGCCACACCTGTCAGGCTGAGTCAAGACATCACACCTACTGGAATGTGTTTTCACAGATTTGTACCACCGTTCTGCATCATCAGAAAGTTAACTGTTTGTTCTTCTGCGAGCATATACTAATAATGTATGATGTATTATCAAATCTTATAAAACCGGACTCCAAAACGAGTCCAAAATGATTAGCACCTGTAGGCCAATAATGCACTGTCCCGCCTTCATCTTCTCCTCATCAAACATCCTCTCCTGTTTGTCTGCGTACTTTACTCCAATGTCCACCCTTGTGTTGCAGCCCTTGGTTTTGGCCTGTAGACAGAACAATTACATATCAGATAGTTTCTACAACACAGATAAGACAATACGACTCTTGTGTCCAAAGTCCAGTTTCAAATCTCACCATACTAGCAAGTGCCAGCAGCGTTGTCTGCACCTGGGTCATGTTTGAACTCTCAAACAGGTCGTTGGCTTCGAAGATGTCATGAGGCTTCAGGCCATAAGCTTGGATGGCTGCAATGAAGTTGGCCAGGTTCTCTAGCTGAAACAGAGTCATTTAAATATTAATGAGCAACATAAAGACATTAAGGTTAGGATCTATGCAGAGACCAAGTGAGTAACTCACTAAGTAAGACTTGTATGTGTGTTGAGTTGATACTAAGTAAGACTTGTATGTGTGTTGAGCTGATTTGTGCCATACAACTTTAGCCATTTAAGTACGTTTAAGGTATGTTCAGTTTAGGAGTTAAAATATATTGAACATTTTTAAGTAGGTAGACCATTTAAGCCTGTCATTTGCAAAGCAGCTCCCATGCCAAAAAATGTTTACACCTCAGTTTTAGGGGATGTTGCCTGACATACAATTAGGACAAGTGACACTCCTCATTTGCAACCTGTACGATTCACTCACTCGTCTGTTTACTAATCCTAAACAAGAGAGTCTGTTTACAGCTTAACTGGATCAGAAACCGGTTTTGAGATGCTGAGAATCGTCATAACATTAACACTGCTATTGCAGAGGGAAACAGGAGCTAATAGGCCTCAAACGATATGTAGGTAGAAATCCATAGTGTCGCCACAGAGGTAGCACCAAAGGGCAATCATGAAGTCACAACACCTTTGTGCAGGTAAAACAAATGTGTCACCTGATGCCAGTTCCTTGACGGATTGTTGATCTTTTTCACCGATCCTGGTTGAAGTTTGTTAATAAGTCTGAGATGGAGAAACAGATGAGGACAATAGACAATTAGCAGCAACAAACCTCACATATGAAAAAAAAAAAAACATAAAAGTTTTCTTGTCACAGTGTGAAAGACGATCAGTGATGTCTGCTTACTCGCAAAGAATGACTCCGTCCTTCAGACCTTTCTGAAAGTCAGAGTCGATGCTGCAGTCAGTGATGTCCTTGATCCAGATCCTCAGCTCCTCTTCTTTCAGAGGGTCGTACTTCTGTGCGATCTGGTTCAACATAGAGTTAATACGTCAAAAATAATCCAGCAAAATGTAGTGGTCTATTTGTTATTCATCATGTCAAGGTCTTTGTTTTTCCTTCACTGCCACACTGGCCTCCCTCTTGTTTGGAATAATTATACATGGTAGAACTTGTTGGCCCTGGCTCCTTAAGTGTGTGTTATGGCTGCATGGAACCATGTTTCATGGTCAACCCCTGTTTTTCTACGACAACTTGTTGTATGCCATGTCTACAGAGATGTTGTTTGTCTCAATCAGTTCTCATAAATAAGGTGATACTGACATTATACACAAACAGTACACACACACACACATATACATACATACACTCTCAAGGATATCCTGTTTGTAGTGCATAGTTCTGCACAGGAAGGCTGTTGCTAAAGTCACAGGGGTGGGTCAGTTTAACAGGCTGTAACACCACACAAAGATTCAATGTGTCACTGTGTGGGTATTACTTTGATTTAGAAGTTAGGGTTTTGCTTGCCTGACATAAGTGTAAGAAACTCTGAAAGAGTGCTTTTAGGAGGATCTGTATAGAACAGTTCAGGCTTTTGTGGTAAATAACTGAAATGTGGAAGTGAGTGAAAAAAGAAAGAAGAACAAGTATAGAAGGTGTCAAATGATCTGTATGTCATCGACCACCAAACAGTTTTCCTTGCTGAGGCGCAAAAGCCTAACCTACTTGGGCCAACAGCTGCTTATGCTCTTAAGGAATCTCCATCTTCTGATTACATTTCCTTTCTTTGGGGTTGTACTGAACAGTCGCTGTTTTAATTGACCACAAAAACTCCTAGAGACAAGGGGAGTGCAAGGAATTTCTTCCATAGAACTGGGATAAAAGAGCAGAATAAAAGAAGCTGCAAAAGAGCAGAGTGTTTGTGTGTGTGTGTATGAGTGTGTGTGCGTGTACCAAATGAACCCAGAATGTCAGGACTGTCTACCGCATATTTAAGTTCAGGATCCAAAGCTCGTGTGGTTACAGCCCGTCAATTTTCCACATCTTTATGTGGTTTTAAAGAGGAGGGGGAGATGGGCGAGGATAGGGGGGTACTTTAAATCCTTGAATACCAGACATTTCACAGAGGCAGATACGTCACACAGGGCAGGAAATACCACTCAAGTCAGCATCTCTGCAGCCCATCCACCCGCACCTCCTCCTCACTCCCCAAGGTAGAAAAAACACAGGAAAACTATATGTGTTCTTCACACTAGGTTGTTTTTCAGACTGAATTTTTTTGTGTGGAGGGTGCGACCCCCTGCTCCCATACAAGGGCATGGCAGAAGAATGCAGAGAGGAAAAAACTCAAGGTGAAAGAATTTTAAGTGAAAAGGAAGACCATATCCTAAAGTTTGCTCAAAGGTCGACTGTTGATGTCACTTAAGCCTCACCTAATGTTTTGTCATTAACATAGTTTTTGCTTAATCTCCCTAACAAAGCAAAGAATGAAATGTTATGAGCTAAGATAAAATCGAATCAACTATGTCACCTTAACCACATTTTTTCCCCCAATGCTCACTGTGAGACTCCCCACCCCCACCTTTTTGTCTGTGGTCTACCTCACAACAAAATGAATGGCTTTTGGACATTTCCTGTTATTGAACCTTGAAGCCCAAGGAAAAGAGAAGTAAAGTTTGGTGGTGTATTAGCTTAGCAGAGGTTTGGGAAACTACCAGGGCTTTCTGAAGCATATAAAATAAGAAAGCAGGATAAACCGAAATGAAAAAGCTGACTCAATGTGAAAGAGTTCTAACAGGCCGGCCATGTCAGCTGCACCATATTTTCTTCATGACAAAAGAATATTGCATGTATTTTGATTTGTCTACATCCAAAGTTGATTTATTTTCTTGACTTATGACCTAAGGAAGAATATATAGAATTTTGGGGCAGATAATCCTCGAATATATTGACAAGCAACAGGTTTGGCATACCCCCCCACTTCCTCTAGAATTGAATGATTTATTTTCATTCATTCCTTATCTACCACTCACTTCTTTTAAGGGTCACAAGGTCACTGGAGCCAACCACAGCTGTGAATGGGTGAGGACCTAAACAGTTCTCCAGCAAATTGCAGTATATGGACTTTATATTGTGGCGCTTTGGCCCAGAGGCAATGTCTCTGTCATTGGTCTGGAACCCCAGAGTTCACCTCCTGGGCAAGTTCGAATCCCGGTTAGGGCGGTTGGTACCTTCCAGTGGACTCACCACCTGCAGGAAGGTTCAGGGGGGTTGGTACTGCTGCCCCCGCGCCCCGGTAACGGATATGCGGATGAAAATGGATGGATGGATGGACGTTATATTCAATAAATATATATGAAATGTTTAAAACAAAAACTATTAAATGGTATAAACATAATTTATTCAATAGCCATTTGAGCATTTCTATTGATTTGTGACTAATCATTGTAGGAAATGCTTTATAGAGAACTTGTTTTTATGAAACTAGGAGTATTTTAAAGGGAAATGATCAGCTATTGTGCAGTGGTCAGAACAATACCATACTATGTGATCAGTGCTGCTATCTCTAACATCTTCTTTGGTATTTTAAGTGGATGCTGATGGGCAGGGATTTGTGCAGACACACATAAATAAATCAAATAGCTTTTCTCTCCAAAATGATTGTGATACAATATCTATCTGGATGCTGGTTTCAGGTTTACCTTGCCTAACTGTAAACAAGAATAAATCATTCTATCCATGAAACATAATAAGAACAGAGTAAAGTTTGACCCTCAGAGTAGCAGACACAGAGATAGAAATCAGTTGTCTTTGACAACAAAGGAGGAAAAGGTAATGTCAATAGGGGGATAAATGGCATCCCATCAGTGGCGTTAAGGAAGAACTATATTAACCGCTAATGCGGGTCACTGTCAAATAACCTCCAACTGCATAGAAAAGACTGGAAACTGGAATAAGTGTGGTTATTGTAATGCCACAACGACACAGTTCTTTGCCAGGATGGACAACGCCCATATACTGGTTTTTAAACTTAGGGTGAACTGAATCCGAGTTCTCACGATTGCAAAAACCCCGAAGACGGATATAAAGTTTTCAAACTAGACACACTTTTTAACCTTATCTTTTTAGGTGTCACTCAGACTACCTTTTAAACCAGTTTTCAAACTAGACACACTTTTTAACACACTTGCACAAAATGGAGGCGGACAGGTAACTTGGAAACGGGCATGGATGAAGGGCGCAAAAAAGTTTATTAAAACTTTTACAATAATATTCAAAAGTTATAAATGCAAACTCACCTTGTTTTTAACTTCTGCGGATAACCCGTAGGAAGGGCCTCTGTTGAAGGAAGCCATTGTCAGAAATGCAGATTTATTCTGGTTCAGAGGTTTACGAGGAGACAAGTTGGGCTGTGGATAAAAAAATTGCCGAGGATTAAGAGCGACTTTCTCTTCCAATGAGACTTCTGTGGGAACGTAACACTTCCTTCTCTTTAACAGCCACCAATTAGAACGATGCAACGGTTTTCCTGAAAGAGGCGACTATGCGTCGTCAAGATGGTTCACTGCAGCTAAACGCAGATGGGGATAGCCTTTTATAGGAAAGTGCGTGGCAGAAAAGAGAGAGAAAAAAATCTGATGAATATTCAAAGATAGACGTCAACGAACATTTAATGAGCAATACTTTCAGTTTCAGTTGTTAGAGAGAGGTTTATAATAACTTGAACTTGAAGGAGCCCCCAAAACACTACATTATAGACAGCATTTAGGATTATCTCATGACCAGTCTCAAACATTTCACGAGTTCACTGCAGCATAACGGTATTTCTCAAGTGTAGATTTGTAATAATTATAACAATTTTGAGACAGTGTTGAGGTTTCCACTCAGACTGACACATGGGTTTATTTACCAAGGTTGACCACAACTATAATCCAAAATATGGAATAAGCAAGACAAAGTGTCTAAACACATTAATACTGTGTACTTGAAAGTTATTAACTATGAAACAAAGGGCATATTTTCCTTGTGGAGCTTCATTGTTACATTTGTATTAAGATGTACTTCTGCATTTATAAACATTACTTATTGTATAATTACACAAATTACATTTTAAATCCAGTAATATTAACCAAAAGAAATGTATTTAACAAAGCCATTTCAGCAAAGGCGGAAGTACTTAGACATTATTTATCTCTCTTCTTTTGAACTCTTTGTTCGTTCTACTCGTTAATCGATCCCGGGCTCCACCTTTTCCCTGCTCTTCCTTAGGTTGCGATTGATATCAAAAAGTCCTTATATGGAAGGAAACGTCCCAAATTCCTGGCGGTGGGAGTGACCAACGGGTCCCACCCTGAATACCAGGCCAGCAGTGGACGAGACAGTTGGTCGTTTTTTCTGCTTTGAGTCACAGACGGCTCTAAAAAAGTTTAGCGGAACTGAAGTAAGCAGAGTGAGCTACTGGGGTGACGTAATGGGGCTGCTGTGTAGTTTGAGATAACAGATACCACCTTTCTCCCCTTTGCCAAAACTCTTTCAAAGGCATGTCTGGGAGTATACAAATCAGACTGAATCACAATCAACTCAACCAACAAAGAGTTTGGGCTCAACTTTGAACTTTTGACGGAATTAAAAACATCAAGATGTCCACATTTGCTGTGAGGTATCCACATTCAATGCAAGGCAGTCTGTATAATATTGTATTTATAATGAATTATAATTTTTTATTGATAATCATACATATAATTATCATACAGTATTTAAGTGTTTTATTGTTAGGCCTCACACCAAGACATTGTTGGGCTCCTTTATTCAAACAGACCTTTCAAAAATAGGCGTTAAGAGTGGAAATATCCTTTTTCCTGCAGTGTCAGCTCTGACCGGCTACAGCTCCAACCCCGACTAAAGGTAACTTGCCTTGTCATATTGTTTATATGAACATCTTGAGATAACAAACCATATAATTTATGTGTTTTTAAATATAAAGGAAGGTTTTAACATGTGCATTTACACAAACAACAGGAAATCGTGCTCACAGACACCTCCCCAGTTATGTTTCCTGAAAGACTACAATCTTATTATAAACAATAGGCATTTGTTTATAGAGATATGCTCAGCTGGAAGACAACTGAACTAACACAAACACACAGTAGGTTGTTTCAGGGTTGGACATCTGCTCTGACCTTGTTCATAAATCTAGTCCAAAGTGAAATGATGTGTGGTATAATTTAATATGTTTGAGGTCAGGGCGTTCAGTTAGCCAATAACAGCTAAATATAAGCTAATAGATAGTAGTTCAACATTTACAATAACTGTCCTGGAATTACTTATAACTGCCACTAGAACAGCTCACTACGGCCAAATAATGTGATCGTATTCAAGAGGTGAATTTCCTGCCAAGGTGTGAACATTTTGCACACGTTTCCCAGACATAGATGGTAATTGAATATCATACGTGAGGAGTGATGTCATCGGTCCAGGTGTTTCTTTTCACCTCTCAGACATGTGTGTCAGCTCATACAAACAGCTGTGTACCTCAGTGTTCGTGTGGCTGTCGGTGACATCATAAATGTGGAAAGACAGATGATTTAAGGTCTGGCGTACAAACACGCAAGAGACAAGTTACTCACCGAGATACAGTAAAATGATTCAAGGTACTTGAATCATGGTGATGACGTCAAAACCCCACCTACCATACCTATTTACGCAATAAACATATTACATAAAACTATTAGTTTAGCTTATTGACTTTAACAATGTGTACATGACCGAAATCGAATTATTCTGACTGTGTGAATGATCATTTGTAAGGCTACAATAATAACAGGTCCGAGCCAGTTGTTACAAAAGGTATTAATTTGCTGAGGCCACACCATTCTTACTGTACGTCACAAACTACCGATGTAGACAAGTGGAGAGTGCGCGCCCCCATGTGGAACAACTCGGTAAGTGCAACAATCCAGTTGCGCTCTTATTGTAAAGGGAGAGTTTTCTGGACTTTGTTGTCAATAAAATACAAAAGTTATGTAATTTCTATCGGCCAAGAGAATTACTGGGTAGAATTTATATACAAGAATGCTGCCCTAGGCCTGCACTTTTTCCCTAAGTGACAGAGATTCTGTTTAAGAAAATATTTAGCATCAGATTGAAAAAGAATTCATCCACTGGGTATTGCAGGTTGAATAATGAAAGCGGCCATTTAAAACTTTAGAAAAAGCAACTTGAGGACTTTAACAAGTGCATTTTAATACTAAAAAAAACAAATAGTAAAATTAATTCTTCTTAGAGAATAAATCTTACTATTTGTTCTTACAGATTACTGGATAATCTTAGATTACTGCAGCAACACTGCAGCCTTTCAGGTGTCAGACTTAAACGTTCAATTTTTTGTTTTATCATCACAATAAATAATGGCATGAATACATAAATAAAGCAGCCCCGGAGCAGGGGAGGAGACACTGCATACTGTTAAAATACCATCAAATTATACCTCAATTATTAAAAGTATCCAGAACTCATTTAGGAACTTCTCATTTCATCAAAGCAGTTCAACAATGTCTACACACTATTTTGTCATAAAAAGAGGCAGCAGTCTGTGGACTGAGCGTTAGATTTAGATCATTTTATTTGTCAAACAACTGAGAGATGTTAAACACTTAACAAATAAAGATGCCTCAGACAAACCGCAGAAAACAGATTCTTATCAACCAGTTGTAGCACTTTTCCTTTATTGCCAGCTGTGTTGTGTTGCAGTCGTCTGCAGCTTCACCCTTGCTAGACCAACGTGTACAAAAGAAATTGGAACAGAAACGGTGCATATAACAGCGTCATGGGATTTGAATTATCGCACATAAACCCAGCTCTACAGACAGGCGTGTTTACTGCAAATCCAGATTAACCATTTTTACCAAGGCACATTGGTAGGGATGAGTGACTTAAAAGAATGAACAGAGAGGCAGCACAAAAGCCAATTTGAACCCAAATAAAGTGTACAAAAATGGTAGTGAGGTGTATAAAGAGAAAGTAGGTGTGGTCACATGGATAATGACAAAGTTATCTGATGAGCACAGCCGTGTCTCTCCATCACTTAAACGCACAGAAGCCAAATTACTGCTACCTGGAAAGCACTCTTCAGATTTTCTCAACTCTAAGAAGTTTGAATATTTATGGCCACATTAACTCACTTGTGGGTGCAATCAGAATGAACACTTCAACAAAGCCAGGGATGAAAGGACCAAACAAATTTATGTACAAATGCATGAAAGGTCACCACGCCACACAAGGCTTCTTCATATGAAAACATTGTAAGGTAATTTCAGGAGAATAACAGTTTAATGGAATGGAAACTTGGGGAGTTTCAAGATTCAAATATTTCCATTTTTCTCAGGTGTTGATCAACACCATATTTATTATTCCGTATGGGAAAGAAGTTGAGGCAATGTTTACTGGTATAAAGTTCATAATTTGAAAAGCACCACAAGTTTTAATAGATTGAACCATACAGTTCCTTTAGAACAAATGTCTTTAGAGTTGGAACTACACAGACATCAAAGTGGGATCACACCGAACGTGGAGCAAAGCGTTTTTCCGATGGAAATGCTAAGTTATTGCAATGGCAAGGTTGTCTCCCAAACTGAAAGAGATTTTTGTCAGGCGTTAGAACTGATGCAGAAGACATTAGGCATTAGACGCAAATGACAAGTGACTGATATTAAAATGTTTTGACTCGCCGATGTGGGGTCGTCATGTCAATGATGGACACCGGCATTGCGGCCAACCTTTGAGACATTGTAGTCATTTGGTTTCTGTTTGGCTTCCCCAACATCTAATACTGTAATTTATAGGGATCTATACCCTCTCTTGTAAAGCTTATGGCTGCAGTATCACTACTGGCGAGCAGGGGCACAAAGAAAAAGGAGGTATTAAGAGTAGCTGCCCTGTTAATTGGGCTCACCAGCAAAAACATTTGCATCTCCAGCACAATAATTCTTAATGATTAAAGCCAGCACTAGCATTAAACTAGCATTAGATTCCTGTCTGCTAAGAAAACGAGAGTAAACAGAAGAGCAAAAGTACTGCTCTGTGGGCGTCGTGTGATCCTTTTAGTCTTGTTCGGTGTGAAAGCACCATAAGAGCTGTGGATGAGACAGGATGTAGGATGGAATATGGAATGTTGTGAACCAAATGTGTCGACCGAACCTAGGGAGAACTACGCAAAATGTGTGTCGGCCCTCTATTGGCGAGGGTGAGGCAAACAGCATCCTAATGCAAAAAAAAAATCTATAGGCTTTTAAACACCTATTTTGATGAACTGGTCAAAAATAAATAGATGTATACATGAAATTCATAATTTACTCTTTTTCATCTCACATAAAGCTTCTTGTAACTGCCAAATATGCTCCAGTATTTTATACTGTGTACATGTTCAGCTCTACCTGTGCTCGATTAACTTTATCCACACCTTTTCTGGGAACCAACATGGCAGTCTGAACAGGAGAGCTAAACCCAAGCCTTCCCTCAAAGTCACATTGTAATGTCTCAATAAAATGAGAATGTAAAAGCAGAGGGCAGTGTTATACTAACGAGCCCAAATGGAGGGTTCAATTCAAAAGCTTAAAAACCAGCGTCATTTACGACATTCCTTGACTGGAATATTGCTGCCCTCTCTTTGGGTTTGTGTGTTACTTTCAGCCCTCTGCAACCTGGGCCTCATCCTTTCCGTTTGAAAAATAAAAACAGAAACAGCCCTTGGTTTTAGGAACTCAAATATAATTTTAATCCTTAACTCTTTTATACCAAAATCTCAACAAATTTTCACAGAAAGATGAAGAGGCGTGGAGGGGAAGGGAGTTTAGCAGACCTGACTTTTGCCAAACTCACAATGGACAAACAAAATCACAAAGTCTAGCCTCCACACAGAGACAGAGAGAGGAATGGGAAAAGTCCCAACTGTCCCAAACCCCTCAGTCTAGGCAAACGTATGGCAGGATGTTCAATTTACTTTCATCCCCATGAGGGTCCAATGATATGCACTCCGTCCAATCATACCAGATGCCCTTGGTATCATAACAACCATTCACCCCTGGCCAGTGTTTTGTGTGTATTCTCTCCAGGTCGTCTGCCGTCACCTCCCGTGTCACACCTGGTAAATCACTTACTGGGATGTCTGTCTGCAAAGCATGGGTTTTTCTCAGCTGCTTAGTTTCCTGTTCTTCTCTTTTCAAATACTCAGACATGAAAAAGTGTGCACTTGGGGTCTGTACCCCAGAAGAGGTTAGAACATTGCTCTGAAGGTTCAAATAGGACTGAATGATTTCATTTCTGGACAGCTCCTTCCAGTTTGTCTGTTGGAAAGGGTTAGGACCAGAACCAGAACCAGGTCCAGGTCCAGGTCCAGGACCTGGGCCTGGGGCAGCTGGTGGTGGTACAGTGCTTTCAGTTTTCTGCCTAGGCTCATAAGGGTTAGGGGCTTCTTCTGTTTGTGAAGGTTCTTTATGTACCAGAGATTTAATTTGACCTGTGACAGGGTCAAATGTTAGTCTGCGTTCTTTTAACCGAACTGGCTTTGTCACATCCTCTAGTTTCTGTCCATCTAAGTTGACAAAATAGTCTCTCGACCTGTATTTCCTCTTTTTATGTTCCGAGTTGAGGGCCAGTGACCCATCTGTGTCATCAGACACGGCCGCAGCGGCCTCAGGTGTCTGTCTGTGTAGTTCTGAGTTCTGTTGGGAGAGAGATGTTGAAGGGGAAACTGACAGGGATTCCAGTGTTGCAGATACATCTTGGGATGAGCAGTGAGAGGAGACATCTAATGAACCGACCCAGTGCATCGAGGACCTGTGAGATGAAAAGGGCAGCTTGTCAGTGCAAGACGCGTGAGCGGGAGAGGAAATGGGCTGGGACGACAAAGGAGAGTTTCTGGAGGAAGGGCTCGGGACTGGTGTTCCCCTTGGTGCATACACATTGGAGCGCTTGGTCAGTGTGTCTTGCTTCATACTCCTTGGACTGGTTGTGAGGCCACGTGGACTTCTGGCCTGATAATACCCTCCACCACCCCCAGCTCCTCCTCCCCCTTCATCTAGTCTGGCCTGTTGCTGCATAACAGCAACCTTGATCAAAGATGAAGTGCTAGGTAGTTTGGCCACACCAGGGGAGCTGGGGCGAGGCTTGACAGCATTTACTGGAATTCTGTTGATTTTATCATTTTCAAGGTGCTCTATTCGAGATCTGTCAGGAGATGGGACTACCTCCTGGTCAGGTGGGACGTCTGGACTACCAGCAATCCCATTGGTGGGGGGTGGTGACTTATCGTATGAAGACAACTTGGAGATTTTTTCTGGTAAGTGCACACCGCTGTCTCTGTTCTCTGCCCGGCGCTTGCGACTGCTTGATTTTTCAGCTTTTGGGGAGTACGTGTTGTGTACATCGTTTCTGATTTTGACTTCAGAGACCCCCTTTCCCAACACAGACTGTTCAGGGGAAGATGCCTCTGTCCTGCATGGATGCGAACTACCATTTGTAGACCCAGGAGCACTTGCGACCACAGCCGACCCAGGTTCAATCAGCTTTTGCCAATTTCTTAGAAGTTTTTTAGCACGTTTGGCCAGATCTTCATCCTTGGTCTTCTTCCGTACATCATTGATCAATTTTCCTAATCGGGTTTCCTGCAAAATCAAACACAAAGAAGAAATAGATTTTGTAGCACTATTTTTGTATGTTATCTTTAGGAACAGGTGTTTTTAATGTTAAAAGAATTACACTAGTGGTAGCTTGAATTTGTTATGTTAAATACAGCAAATCCCATTTTCCCTGATGTTTCATCGTGGGTTTTAGAGCTACCAAAAAGTACCAGAGATCATGTATAACTTACAAGTTGTTCCAAGAGCACTACCTTAGACAGACCAGTGCGTGATAATTTGGCCTGGACAAGAGCCAAGGTCCAGCATTCACACAGTCCCAAATGTGAGTCAAATTCTGCAGTATTTAGTAGAAATAGGCTTAAGGCTAATGTGGACGTAGTAATTGTAGAAGTAATACAGAATACCTACATTTTAGCACCAATGCTTTTACTTGGAACTGGTAGCAACATATATTGGGGTTTAAACCCACAATGTGATAATTCAAATAGCACTGGCCAGAAGTCCTTAATACATGACTAATTGTCTTACCTCAAGTGCTTCTTTGGTGATGGGATATTTTTCAAGACAGGAAATTACCTCCAACACAACAACCATATTGCATATCTGCAGGAAAGAGACATTGAAACAGCTTGCATTACTCTCCTAAAGCCACAAACATGGAAAATGATTAATACAACACTACCATATAATGCAACATTAGGACCAGAACCAGAGCCATTCACATGATTACCCATGTATACAACATTTTGAATAAAACTTTTAAATAATCTCAATGCAAGTCGTTTCAAAACAGAACATTTGTTCCAGCCAGATCACTGCACAGGAGAGACTCACAAACATACAGACCACTCCAACTGCCATTCACATGATTACCCATGTATACAACATTTTGAATAAAACTTTTAAATAATCTCAATGCAAGTCGTTTCAAAACAGAACATTTGTTCCAGCCAGATCACTGCACAGGAGAGCACGTCAAATCTGTTTTACATGTCACACATGGATTTAATTTTTCCACTGGAAGCTTCCAATAATGTATCCTATTATTTCTACTTTTGCATTATGTTGTTATGCTGTCAATGTTAGTAGTTCTAACCTGCACGGTGGCATGGAGACAGTGAGACACACAGAAAGGTAAAGCTACTCTATTGAAGCACTTTCACTGACGTAACAAAATGTCAGAAGTAGACCTCCACAGAATCCAGTCTTTAGGACAAATAATTAACATTAAATTATTTAGCAACTTAACAAGCTCAATTTCTTCTAGGTTGCTCAGGGAATATTGCAAAATTTCACATTAAGTGCCTGGTAGAAAAGTTAGTCATTCTGCTGACATGGCTCTAGCTGGGTGTCTGTTTTCTGAAAAGCTTTAACATTTTCCTTGGAAAATTTTAAGATATATATCCGCAAATACTTGCGTGTTTCTTTTAGCAGTACCTTTAATTGTATTATACTATTGCTGTTTTCGTGTTCTCAGTCAATGTTGATTGTATTTTTAGGTTTAAAATAGTCCATGTTCCTACCCTTGCCCTCTCTCTTGTGCTTTATCACAACACACAAATTGCATCACGAGCATAACAGTCAAAGTACTACTAAATACTGAAGTGCCTCTTTTAAATTTCTATTTGCTACCCCTAACTGAACAGTTTCGGTCCGGGCCTGTTACAAGGGACACTGTTACCCTAAAAAGTAAATGTGGCAACGTGTCATGTCCAAAAAATGCTTGCTCCAATCCTTTAAACTATATGGTCACACGTGTGCAACACTAGACCTGGGAAACCCCATCTTTAATCGAAGGAGAGTCACTTATCCTGTGGCCAAAGTCAATCAGCGTTTGAGTGTCGGCACTTCTCCGTGCTAGCATAGTTAGCTACCGCTAAGTTAAGAAGGAAGGAGCAGACTATTTCCTACAACGTAACTGCAACTGTTCAAGATAATGCTATAGAAGCTACACATGGATATTATATTCGTGAAACAAAACTATGTTTAAATTCGAAATAATGTTGACCTACGTTTAATTAATTACTTCTTAAACAGTCTAAAATCGGTTTAAGATATGCTAATGCAGCTACCATGCTAACGCAGCTAATGAGCTGTCATTCTGACCAAGTGAGTCTCTATGCGCTTCGATTAAAAAGTCAAAAGTCAATCATTTCATTGTAGTGTGAGTACAAAATAGGCATAAAATAATAGTAACAACTAAACAGAGTACCATGTGTGGGTGTTTATATGTACAGGTAAACAGGCTAAGTGTAGCTAATTTAGCCTGCTAGCGCCACTCACATTGCTCTGACTGTCGATGGCCTGCAGCAGCCGGTCCTTCATCTGCTGCGGGGTTGCTGAGACCGTTGTCATTGCCCGTCTGGTGCGATTCGGAAGATGGAGGGAGGAATCCTCCAAAATCAAGAGCTCAAACGCCGCTGCGCTGACACGCCAGCCGCTCGTACAGCATATTTTGGTGTCGTCTGGAAGGTAAACGGCGTGGTTTGTTCTCTCACATGGAAGTGGTGGAAGTGTTGTGCGCTGTGTGTTGGCCGCTAGCTGCTGCCTGCTCAGCGCCTCAGCGACTCACTACCAGCTGCTGGATGTGTGCACGGCCTCCTGTTGCATGCTGGGATACGCCGTCTGCGCCTCTGACGACTGCACGTAGTCAAGTAAACACCACTGGCGTGCGCTTATGTACAGAGCTATCCACCTGGAATGCACTTACCCAACATGCGACAATTGTGACTCCCAAAGTGTGTAGGCTGATTGTGTTTGCAGGAGCTGCAGCCACTGACTGGACTAGAGAACGTCGTCTATAACTGAATAATGATCTGATTTATTACCAGGTGTACATCAGTTCAAATGTAGGTAAACTGTCAAGAGAAATAGGTCGATTGATCGAAATTAAATATTGTGGGGGTTGTTTTGTTATGTTATAATTCCCTCTTTCCTCTCTGTCTGCTCTTTTAGGCTTTTTCACATTGTGCCAGTTCACACATAGAAGACTCAGTCAGTCCGATGCTTCTTCAAAGGATCAAAGATCTTGCTTCTTCTGGTAAAAAAAAAATCATATTTGTGTTCACTCTTCCTTTATAGATGACAACAGTGGTGCCTACACTCTAAGCATTGATGTCATACATGACTTGTTTACCCTCATAAATATTGTACTCGACAAAATACAATTAAAAAAAACAAACTAAACAAAAATGTCAGTTTAGACTTGTAAAAAACAATAGTTTAAGTTTGTTGATCAACATGTGAGAAATCAGAAAAAGGATATCAGAAGCTAAATAAATGGACACTGAAAAGTTGCTAACTGTCTGGATTATCTTTTTTTAACATTTTGTTTGTGCATAAAATCTTGATCCGTTTTGCCATGATCCGTATTTCTCTGCAAAGAGTCTGTTCTTCTTTTTCTTACCCAAACCAGTTAACCACCTAATAGAGGAACCTTACAGAATGATGCTTTTCAAACATTACAGACTAAAGCCTGGATTTTGGGTTTATGCTGGAATTAACTTCTTAATTCGTCTAACTAGTCAAAAGTTTATCAGTGACAAATATATATCACATATTCATTTTATTTTCTTTATGTTATTATTATTGATGAATCGTCAATAAATATTTTCATAAATGACATTCCAATCTTTCACCAGCAGAGGGAGTCCTGCACCTTCGTTAGACTCGTGCCAGGAAGTTGGAGACGATTCAGTGGGTAGTTTTTTAATCAATTTTTCAATTTTAACTATTCCAGATTAATTCAAGTGATTATAGTCTTTGTTTTACAATATAAAAATACAAACACCACATTAATCAATACAATTATCAATTAAGTACTAAGTACCGGTACAGTGGCCAAGGACAAAAAAAAAAACATCTCTGATTAGTAAGATATATTTATTCTCTTTTCATGTACAAATAATAATGCATTGATACAAAGACATAAGCCTTCACACAAGAAAAATACATCAGATACATTGCAAACAGATGCACATTTTGTCTTGAGCTTAGCAAACATTTACAGCCAACTTGATTTCGCGATTTTTTTAATTTATTTTTTGGTCCAATTCAACAACAAAATTACAAAACAGACAATTTACAGACCAAGGTTTGAGCCAGTCATTTTTTAAAGGGTTTGCTCAATAAAGTACCACTTAGCCAAGCTGTGCTGCAGAACGCTAGAGTTTGCATATTCTGTAAAGATGTTTCCTGTAGCTGTGAGTTCACTGCAGCAAAGGACAGTGCATCAGATGATGGCAGTCAATGCATGTGCAGTCTTTGTATTCAGAAACACATGATACATGTTTTTTGTTTTGTCTTTTTTACAATTTAGCTGCCATTGTACAAGGCTCCAACCAGAGAAAGGCTAGCCTCCAAATCTACACAGAGATTTTATATATGTAACCTATTGACCTCATAAAGTGGATAGAAAAGTCTATACACCTCAGTAAACTGCCAGGATTCTGTCATCTGCAAGAGTTTCAGTCAATAAAATTTTGTGTGTAGCAGAAATTTACAAAACACGACTGAAACAGTTCAGACCTTTGTCAATCGAAAACAAACTGGAATCCATTAGGATGAGCAACAAAAGCTAACAATTTTAGTAGCGCATTTTAACAATCCTAAAATGAAATTTGACCATGTTCAGTGCTTAGAGAGAACCGACTCACATCTGCACAGAGAAATGGGAGATCAACGATCTTATTGCTGTAAGGAACCAGCACTAACCACTCCACCACTGTGTGGTCCCCAACAGCAAAGAATGTTCTCAACAAATGTGTGCATTCCTATTGGTAGATTACTATTACTATTGACTATTTCATCATCCTTCTTTCACATTGTTCTATAAAACCTTACATTCTTCCCGGTACGTTGTATGTTATAAGCTGTTATGTCACAAAGTCAGTCTACATAGAAAAGACAGTATTCAGTATCTGAAGGAGTCAGTATTATCTTCATGTACTTCCTGTTATAGGTGTGTTACTTCTCAGAAAACATGTATAATATTTACTGGTATTCACAGGGAAAATTGTGTTTTACAGCAGTTCATTGATACAAAAGTGAAACGGAACATTATAATTTAAAGCAAAACGCAACATTTAAAGGTCTCTGCTGACAAATTTGAAGAGTCGGGATCATGCAGGTACTCGACTATATCATATCAGTCACAATGTTTTACGTGAAGCTGCAGGATCTTCATGAACAATGTAAACAATGGTTTGATACGTTCATGAATGATTTATGATCCTTTTTTAGATTGTGTGACGAGGGAAAGGGTGTTTTTCATTTTAATCATTTATAGCAGCTGTCGCCTTTAGCTTTTGTCCCAAAGGGTGATCTTTTTGAATAAAAACATAAATATACAGAACAGAAAAAAATATTTACTGTATGAAGTAAATCCATATAAATGTCATATATTCTCTTGAAAGTCTTAACGTAACGGATGAGAGAGAAATGTACGAGGCGTGAGTAAGTCCTCAGCCACCTCTGCTTCAGTGTCGTTTACACAAGTACTTCATGTTAACCATGTACTTTTAAATTCAGAGTATTCTCTCCTGATTGTAATGCAGTCTTTGAGAAATATCAAGTACGTGGACGACACACATCTGGTCCTTCAGGTATTACAGAAGTCTATTCACTTTCGCTTTGATTGAATTACTTTTGCTCAAACAGTGGGTCAAGGCCTACAAGTTGGTCATGACCACATTTTGGGTGGGTTACAAATTGGGTGACAGTACAGTGTCAGTTTTTAAATTTATCCAAATGTACACTACATATATAATAAAAATACCAAAGAATCCTTCAAATCTATTATATGGTGATAAATGACCATGTATTTTTATCATATGAACAGAATATGTGACCATGACATATTCATATGTAACCTTCTATGAAGTACAGCAGTATTTCACTCAGCTGAAGTGAGAGAAAAACAAATGTCTCTCTCTGCTGTAAACTCTTGTCCCTGTAAACTATGGTTGAACACCACCGGGTTTCCTTAACACTATTGCAGAAAAATGTGGCAGTAAAAGGCGACGCGTCAGTCGTGCTGTCGACCAATCAGAGCTAAGTGAAGTACATGACCACAGAAAAAGCTCTTCAGTATGCGTGGACGTCCGAGGATGTCTGTAAAATGTGAGGTCCAGCAGAGAATAAAGAGCTACAGCAGGGACTCTGCTCAGTGCATCTTCTGACGGACATTACAATCAAACAGCGCAGGGTGAAACGTTGTTTTCTAACACAGTTGCAATATATAAAAGCTATGTCATAATGGAAATCCTGGTGATACTGAACATAAATACAAGAACACACAGTAAACAGAAAATACAATAGCACAGTTTTCTTCTTGTGCATCAAAAGGCTGATTTCTTTTCTGTTTTTTCACCAGCACAGACCCTTTATAAAAAATGGATGTAGCCCCTGACAGGATTCTGATTGGAGATAAGCCTTCTATCTCTTCAATTTATGACAATTCCTGTCTTCTGCTGCAGCAGGCGGCAGGATCAGGAACATGAAACTGCATTATTGTTGTCCTGTACACTGACTATGTATGGAATACTGTATATCAGACCAAAAACAAAAAAAGAAATCATAATTAAAAATGGGATCTGGTTTGGACATTAAGCTACCAATCCTATTTACTGTTACTTATATCATCTGTATGTTGTTGTTTCACAGCTGGCTTTTTAAAATACAGACTAACTTTATCAATAATCTGCACTGGCTAGGTCCATGTCTTATACATGGTCTGTGGTCATTAAGCCACAGCAGAACCAACCTAACTCATTACAACAAATTCCAAGGAGACAAAAAGGCAATTTCACAACACAGGAAAAACCTGAACATTTCTGACAAACAAATAGGAAGCTATCTTTTTCCACATGACAGCACAAAACATGCCCAACCAGCCATGCATACTGAACGCACATCAAAGAGGGAGAAGAAAAGCTACAACATTTTGCATAAAAAATAGTACGGCCGCCAGAACAACAGCTTTAATTTAGCACAGAATTAGTGATTCCCACTTTGAGAGTTTGGAAAAATTTGGACGCATTTCAGAACAGTCACTGGTATAAATCTTTTTGTTTTTGTAGTGTGGAATATAACTGTAAGGATGTCTAAGCTTAAAATGAAGCATATAAGGCAAAATTGTATCATCTTTCAACTGGAATTCTCACATACTTGAGCTTCACCATCAAAATAAGAACGTTTTTCTCAACTACATTAAAAATATCTGTGCAAGAGTGGACAGTCACAGACTTCAAACTGTTTAGTGTTTACATAAAACATCTCTTTAGATAGACTTTGTTTATAGAACTCTTTCTTTAAATATAATTTGGATATTAACTCTTATATGATTGTGTATGAAAGACCACATCTGTTATGGGGATTTATAAACTTTGTATTAAAATAATAACTTAAAGTGCCACAGGAAAAGTGAAATACAACGCAACAAATCCATAACTGGAAAAAAGAACAAATGCACAAGGTGACATTACGCAGCCGTACGTAGGGAAATGATACAGGTGAGAGATTTGGATTTGGGTCCAATTAGAACAAAGGTTCTATGGACAATGTACAGATGTGAAAAAAAAAAACATTCTCTTTGCATCAACGACGCAGCCCTGGAACGGAGTCTCCTCACATACAGTACTTCAAAGTATTTCAACTACACTGAGGTCACATCTTTGGGAAATATTCAGGAGGTGGAGGAGGTTTTCTATATGACAGTTTCCAGTAAAATAGAAATAAAAATGGCACCATCTCTGAATCCTTCTGGAAAAGATTCCTTCTCTTAAATCCATCACCACTATTTTGCATAGATTTTATTACGCAAAATCTTGACTACATTTTCTACATGTTAGGGATGCACCAGTAGCATTTTTGCCTGAATTAAAGTATTTACATTTTGGTACTTGCAGATACTTTCCACTAAAAAAAACATATCTATGGTTAAAATAACAAATCATAAAGATAATAAATATAATAAATAATTTGAAAGTATGACCTAAGGAATAAAAGAAGTAAAAAATATTGAACTTCATATTTCAAATTAATTTCCAGATATAGAACTTATAGTCACGAACTGGATCTGATTTCTACTGGTAAAGATTGTAACCAGTGACAACGGTGAAATCAACAGATTTCCACAGTCGTCCTGACCAGTCGCACCTGATTCCAAACACAACCTGTGTTCATCCAATCAGATCAGACTAATGAATGGGTGTGTGAAATGATGCAGTAGCGACCGTGCACAAGCACATTTACTGAACACTAACCTTGAACAGAACACTACAGGGAGAACATGTGACACAGTACAGAAGAGGTTTTCCAATCCGTTATCGTTGCATCAACAACATAATATAAGCTATTAAGGCAAAAACAATGTGCACAGTGATTGTGATTTGATGCATAACTAATGACTGCCATTCAGGGTCTTAAAAAAACAAAACAAGATTCAGCATTTCCCAAAAATAACCTGGCAGAATAGCAGAAACTTATGACTCATCATCGTCGGCTCTCAAATCAAATGGGATTTTACTTTGGCTGTAAAACGAACCGCAAAGGAATTAGAGGAAAACCAATGTCTGTGTTGAATGTTTGACTTGACAGATTTCTTCCTCTGAGTCAGTCGAGCTCATCTGCTCACTACTCCATCAAACTCCCACTGTAAAGTAAGTTTCATTTTCTGACATAAATTAAAATTTGATTTTTGAACCACAGAAAAGGTTCACAACAACGGGGGTCAGAGGCTGGCATCAGTCTTCAAAGACTCTTCATTTTTTAAACATTTTTTCTTCTCTTCTGAGGCATAATTGCTTAGTGTGGAATCATTGCCGAGCAGTAAAGACCGTGACCATCGTGCACCGCAACATTTCTCCTACTTTTATCATCTCCAGTGACACCACCTTTAACCCGTCTATCCCTCTATCCCACAGCGGCAGCTTTCACGCACCTGTGCAGGAGCATGTGGAGAAGTGAGGGTTAGAGCCTGTCCAGGCGGAACGCGTCCTCTGTGGCCGGGTCGGCGAGGACCATGTCTGGATCATTGAGCATGTGTAGGCCGTCCAGAGTCAGTGGGTCAATTTTGAGATCATCCAGTGGGAACTGAGAGTCTATGTCAAAGCTGACATCTGTGGAGAGTGTGGACGTCAGGTCCTTTGGTAGACCGGGTGGAGACTCTCCACTCACTATTCACACAAACACAAAGGGAATATTTAAAACAAATTATTAGCGATAGCATTCATTGCTAAGTGTTATGAAAGGAAGCGGGGCTGAAAAGAAGATCAAGTAAATGAATTAGGAGTGCAGACAGGGCTAGAGACAAATTACTGTCATTAGAAGATATATACATATATACTACGTGAGCAGTTTTGTAATTTACTGCTTGGTTACAATAGTTTGTAAAGAAGCATTGTGTGATTAATGATAAGTGTTAGATAATATGTAGCCTAAATTAAGCTACAAATAAAAGAAGAATAGGTCAGCCAAAAATGCTAAAATGCAAACTAATAATAACTGAAAAACAGTCTTAAAAATATCCATAACAATACTAGTGTGTTTTTTTTCTCTATTCCATACTGGTCATCTGCACTTATTTTTCTACCAATACGACAACAAACCAGTGTCAGTGCGGCATTAGGTTACATTCCCAGCACCTGTGAGAATGATGTTAGGGATGTTTCCATGGCTGCTGTAGCTCAGCTGCTGTGAGTCTGGGAGGCTGCAGTGTCCACCAGTCAAACCGATCATCACAGCCTGGGAGTAGTTGAGGGTGGAGGTCTGGTCAGGGCTGATGGGAGTTTCAAGCATGTTGAACTGCTCCAACTGAGGATCAGAGCAGTAAACGACGTCACAACAGTGGAACACTTTCTTTTACTGCACCAGTCTGTCAAAAACCAAAGACACAACACTGACGATACCTGTTGTGACAGAGCACTGGCCTGGAGCGACGGCAGCTGCTGGTCGTAGAAGTCCGCAAAGACGCTGCCAAGGATGGCGTTATGCTGCAATGACAACCGGTGTTTAGTACACTGGAGCTGAAAACAGTTAATACTCTGTCCTTTTAGTCTGCAGCAACGACATTAACTGAAGGGTAACTGAAAATGTGTGTCTGTGTGTGTGCGATGTGATAATTAACATGTGAATACATGGCTTATTAAATGATAAAGTTTCTCGGTATAAAAACAAACAGAAAACAACAGATGCATACAGCCTTGCACAGTTAAAGATCAACAGCGTCATAAAAGACACATTTAAAGCAGCCGCAGCACAAAAAAACAGAACATTGGTTTAAAACCACAGAGAATGTTTTTCCTCTTTGAGCATCTAATGATTTTTGTCTTTATGATGCAACATTTCCTACATGTAATATAATGATGCAACCAGAAATTGCAACCTCCCTAAAACACCACACGTACAGTGTCAAAAACACTGTTGTGTACACACACACAGACTGTATAACTACATCACAAAGTGCTGACAACATACACAGCTGGGATTTTTGTGAAAAGGTGTCTAAACTTTTTAAATAGACAGGTAGGTAATTTATTTATTTGTCTTGTTCTTGGGGGAACAAAGCGCCCGTCAGGGAGGTCATTCCCAACTCTGCTTGAAAATGATAAATAATAAATGATAAGAAAAACATCCTCCCCTGTGCCACAGTTGGTTCTCTGGCCTAACTATGGTCTCATGTCGATAACAAATGACTGTTTGTGAAAACATCTATGTAACAAGATATCAAAATAAAATAATGTATAAGAATTCCAAGTACATATTCTGCTATCTGCCACGTTCATTCAGATCTCACATACTGACAGACCACAGACTGATAACAAGGGCAGCAGCATCTTTGTTTGTTTGTTTTTTTTTTTTGTGCACCAGTGCTTTGATGACCAGGAAGGGAATGGAATTAAAATCATATAAAATCTAATGAATCGTTGAAAATGCAATCCCGTTGTGACTCTACCCCCTCGCCCCACACACACTGAGTCCACGAGTGCAACAGAGATTCTCTTAAAGATTCTCATTTGAGTGTTCTCATTGAAGCAGCAACAGAATCTCTCTGGTTTCACTGTGGCCTCTTAATGTATAAATAATTGGATCATACTCTGAGCCGCTGCTCCTGCTTCAAAAACCAAATTATCTGTGCGTGCTGCAGAAGTCCCTGCAGGGCAGAGCAGGATAATAGAGCACACAGCCTGTCAATTGTGGTTGAGGCCGGGAATAATCTCAAGACCAAGGGTGAGCTCCAGCTCAGGAAGAAACGGAGTGAGGGAGGCAAACGTTAGGACAAGGACAGAAACATGCACGCAGGGACCAGGAAGTCGTCAGTCTGAACCGCACAGTTTCCCTCGCAACAACTCAAAAAGGCAAAGATCACACTCCACCAACGACAATAAGTGATGTTATGTATCTCAGCTTTTACTAAGAGACGAAACCAGTAAATCAGGATTTCACCGGTTGATAATTACTGTCACTAAGAGACGAAACCAGTAAATCAGGAATTACTGTTGTAAATCATTGATGAATCAATCAATAATAAATACATATATTAATATTTAACTTTTTGGTTTGGTTAATAAGAAATCAACGCCCTTCAAACACACTTCACTGTGTTTACTCTCCGCCAGTGGAACATTTAACATCTTCATAGAAAAACTCAGACGCACACACAGTCTCAAACAGAAGGACTACGAGAGGAAACACTGGAGACGCAAAAATCACAGAAGCAACACAGAAACACACACAGCTACATCCCAACACACCAATACTGCTGTGTGTTTCAGGGACTGGCACATAGATCTGGGCAAATACATCTGACATCAAAGTGTATTCAGTGAATAGAGTGAAGTGGTTTTGACTTTGGTCAAGAATGTCCTCCGTTCGCTCAAGCTAAAACTGAATAAACTACAGGATTCTGCAAACGATGTCTCCCGTCTTTGGAAAAAGCCTAACACACCTGAAGCACCGTTGATAACTGGGCGGTTAATTCACATTTGTTTGCCAAATTATCCTCAAACTATAATTAACAAACAAGCTAACTTTAGCATCGCTTATGAAAACCAAATAAGCCAGAACCAAACATTTCCAACCGTGCCCTGGCACGCTAGAGTGCTGTGAGAACACTCTTGATGTGCTGTGGAAAATTCATTTTCCAATTTCCTTAATTGGTCTGAAAATGATTATTTACTTACTGTCTTTTGTTAATGTGAGTGACAGGCAGAACAATTCAATACCCTTCCACTAGGTGGTTGCAACTGGGATCGAATGCATGTGTCTCATCCTTCAATTCCTGCATGTATATCAGAGCTGTGTTTAACCAAACAGGCCAGGGTTCATTACATATACTTTCTGTCACATGTATGTTTGGTGCTGCACTGTTGGATTTTTCTGATGGTTGGGAAACACTGAAACCGACATCTCTGATGGGCACAGACTACAGGCTCTGTCTGCATACGACAAACGAACAGACAGCATTCTCTCTCTGTCTCTTTGCCCAGATCTACAGATATTGTAGACACAATAGAAACAGGCGTATGGGTCCACAGAGTCCAACCAGGCAGCCACAGAACGTTGAAGCAGGGGAGGGTGAAGTTGAAACAGAGCGGGCCAACAGCCCGTCAGTTCACACGCCCTTACTTGAGGAGAACCTCCGGGAGAGAAGCCTTGATTGGAGACGGGGGAGGTTGGAGACTGATTGGCCGAGGACCCGACCCTACTGCGGTACTGTTGGAGGGAGGAGGCCTGATACAGGAGGATACGTTTGAAGTTACACACAATCGAGGATTACCGTCGTCGGTGTCTAGACGATGCATTCATACTGAGGTAAGTGTAGCTTTGTCTCTGTCACAATAAAGGTACTTGGGAAACTAGTAGATCATAGTAATTAAAGCTGTTATTTCTGATAATTAACTGCATAAATAAAAGTTATGTAAATAGTTGGAGACCTCATCAGAGCTTTCATCTGGGCTGGTTTTCAATCCTTGGTTGTTTTTTTTATTCCAAAAATTAAAAACCAAAAATTAAGAAGAATTTGATTTCCGCTCTGTTGCTTTTAGAAATATATATAAGAGTAAAGGAATTACTTATAGGACTGTGAACCTGCATAATGTTTTCCAGTGTGAACTCTGCACATCATCAACAGTTAACAATGGAAAAGTGAAACCTAACTCAACAGCGCATGTGAAAACAAAGCAGCGCGGAATGTGTGATGGATAAATAAAGATGAGCTTCTATTTTCGGCTTTATTATCACCCTGTGAGGTCTCGGCAGCAGTGGGACTGGGATAGAGAACAGAATGTAGGACGCTTCATTTTGCAGGAATCCAAACAAGGTCTCAGTGCAACAGAAGTGGAGCAGCCAAAGCCAGGATCTGAAGGATGCTCTGTTTCCAACAAAGGCGTTTACAGTTTAAACACAAATAATTTGGGAGCTTGAAATCCTCAGCGATAAACATAAAAAAAAAAAAGGAAACTCTGTTTTTAATTCTTCATTTTTCACACTAAATATTCACAATAAATATGTTTCAACAAGTGTGAGTTGGACCGGAGTGTTGATCTCTCAGAAGAAGAGAGGAAAACCAGACACAACCTCAGAGTGTGAGACACTGCAGCGGCAGCGGGTGTGAAACCATAATGTACGAGGCAGACTGATGTGTACTCTGCTCACCGTGTTCATGTCCATGGTCACGTTTGTCTGGGAGGACGCGTGGTGGTCTAACGTGGGGAAGGAGTTCATGGAGGACGGCAGCTGGACCAGGCCTGTCTGCTGGAAAATGAAGAGATCCAGACGATCACACTCCTGCTCATCACAACACCAGGCTCTCGTTCATGAAGCTTAATTCATATTGAAGTTATCAATTCATCTGGAATTCTAGCCCTCGGTTGAAAATGAAATAGTTTCTAATTTTTAGGACTGTTTTTTTAACTGGCTCTGGCTGCGATCAGCATTAAATGAAATTTAATGCTGAGTTTCTAATTTTTAGGACTGTTTTTTTGGCTGTGATCAGCATTAAATGAAATTGTCCTCATCATCTTCTACATTTTTAATTTATATTTCCTTTGGTTAATAACATGAAAATAACAATAAATACTTGCAGCAAAAGTGCTTAGTGCTTTAAGCAGAGGACGTCCTTGTTTACATTTGCAGGTTGTGTGTCATTCATTGGACTCTACTGATGTTTTTATGTTCGAGACTATAATGTTACCACTGTGTTAAATGTGACAACTCAGTACAATGTGGGCTATACATCTGCCCCAGTCATGTCCCGCGGGCCGCTGTTTTAACGTACCTGTTGGTTCTGTAGGGTCTGAGGCGTTTGCTGCTGACTGAAGAAAGCGTACTGAGACAGCTGCTGCTCCAGGTTCATGGCGTTGATGGCTGCCTGGGGGAAGGAAGGTGACTGATAAGGGAGGAAGTTCCACAGTTTGAGGTGAATTGCATTGACTTTAATATGGGCGAGCCCCTCAGCTAACAGACTGACTGTTATTAAAGCTTGCATGAATAATGTTAGTAAGACCAGAGTGTGGGGCTGTACCTGAGAGAGACTGAGAGGTGGAGAGGTGGGAGAGAGCTGATTGCTCTGCTGCTGGTGGGAGTCTCCTGTGTTCAGGATGAGAGGCACCATGTTGTCCTGGCCTGACTCCATTTCCATTGATAACGTGGGCTGAGATGTATTCACTGCTAACAGAACACAGAACACTCAGCACAAGGGGAGAATTTGGTCTGATGAGCTGCATTTATTACTGCAGAATCTCTGGAGTCCTACCTTGTGAGTTTGCCAGGGTCTGTGTGCTGCTGGAGGCGCTGAACGAGGCGGAGGCTGAATCGTCCGCGTCGAGCGGAGTGGGCAGTGGAGGAGGGAACTGGATGTTGGTCAAGTCAGGCAGAGATCCGCCAGTGTTGTGGGCTGCTGGTTTGAGCGGTGTGGTCAGCTGCTGGTCCGGAGATGGAAATATGCTGCAGAGAACAGATGGATGCTGTGACAAAACAGTGTTTAACACATCCTGAAAAATGTCAACAAACAGGATTCTTTAGCAGACTCATTGGCTGATTTGGTGTTCTTTTTGCATGATATAAATTCACTAGAAAATCACATGTAAAACATCATTTACAGACATTATTTACAAGATCACAGTTCATCAAAAACACATTAGTTAAGGGTAGTTTTGACCTTTGTTCAGAGAGGTATCAATAAGCAGCAACAGTAAAATACTCACTGAATCCCGGGAACTTTGCAGGGCTTGGACTTCGACGTGTTCTACAGTAGAGGGAAAACTGCAGTTATAGATGACTGTAGAGTAAGTAGAACATTTATCGGTGAGTAAGAGGCGTACCTTTTTGCAGTCCCATTTCAGTTCTTGTTCATTTTCATCAGCCTCTTGCTTAATTGCTTCTGAATCAGGTACAGCAAGCAGGAAAACTGAAGAATGGGAGAACAAGGTTCCTGAGTATCACTGAAGTACAGTCTGTGTAAGAGCAGGTAAACAACTGTGTTCACTGGCTGAAGCAGCTTCTACTGTGGGTCTGTGTAACACCATCAACTGTGACCAAAAACAGTTCCTTTATCCAGAAAGCACAAAGAGCACAATAGCCGTCAAATCGTCTGTGCCTCAGGATGACAGGCTACCCATCAGTCAGAAACTGAAGAGAACCAAGTACTGTTGAAACACTGACAGATGAGGCTCACTGAAAAGGATGAGATGGAACCTCACTGACGGCGGCTCGTCCTCATCAACATCGACACACTACGTATTGGTTAAAGTGGGATTTGAGCCCAAGACACTGAACAAAGCAAAGGCAGATACAGCAAGATCAGCTGAGAAGGACTCAGTATGTCCTTGAATAACATGAGCCTGCAGTAAAAACCATCCAAGAGCGGAGAGGCTGAGTTTAATATGTTTCTCCACTCAGGCAGAAATCCTACTTAGGGGGCAAAAAACGGAGGCTTAACCAGGGTTTCCAGCACTGCAGAGGCTTAGGCCACTTCTCCAGGCTTCTGCTCACTCATCTATGTCCTGTCACCTTCACTGTCTCAAAGCTGCTCAGTCAAAAAATAACTTTCATCTGTCCCATAACAAAAAAGAATGTTTCATGGAAGAACATCTGACCTGCCTTAAAGTTTATGAACACTTAAAGAGCAGGAAGTTAAGGGACTTGGCTTCCCAAACAGCAGTAGCTTCTGGCCGAGGACCCCTATTACACCCCCTTTCTGTCAGTCTTAGGAATTTAAGCTTGGAAAAAAAATTTTTTTGGACATAATTCATTGGATGAAATTATGCAGCAGTAGTGACAGCAGCAGCAGCAGCGGCAGCAGCAGCAGCACTCAGGAAATCGACCAAAGGATTGACAACCCTGGCAGCAGCTCTAAATATAAAACTCACACACACACACACACACTCTATAATATGGAAGCCTCAAGGTGTCGACTAAAATCAGACAGAAACTCAGGTGTCTGACTCAGACCAGCCATCGACAGCACAGTTTATTTTGAGACTCCACTCCTTCCTGTTTTTTCTCCTCCTTTGCCTTTAAAGCCACATATAGACCTTTGACAGACTGGAAGTCATTGAGCTTCAATAGAAGACACCAGGAAAACACAAACAGAGTGAAAAAAAAACTCAACTACTTTACTATTCCCACAGCAATAGTAGAGTCAAATGGTAACCGGAGACAGAATACAAACAAAATGAAACATTTATTCGCAGAACAATCAATGAAAAAGCTGTAAAGTCTAAACTCTAAACTCAGGGAAAATGCTATGGAAATTATATCATATATTATTTACACTTGTCAATACTTCATACCAAAACGGCAGATTACCAAAAAAATATACAAACAAACCATCATTTAGCATCAGGGCTGCAATAATCTAATTTAACCAAAAAAATATACAAACAAACCATCAGTTAGCATCAGGGCTGCAATAATCTAAAATAATAATGTCATTAATAAGAGTGTGTTAGCAGCTTATTCTACTCTTAAAAGGCCATGTTTTTCTCCTGTTCTACCTCGTTTTGGCTGCAGCTCCTGGGATCCTCCGGTGAAGGTGGCCTGGTCAGCAGGGGTCAGTGTGCTCTGGTGCAGCGCTGAATCAGAGTTGGTTCTAAGCCACAGGTAAAGTCACAGAGAATGAAGCAAATGAGCCAAACATATTTACACAGATGATGTCAGCGAATAGTTCTTCATCACCAGAACACCATGCTTTGATAGAATTGAGAAGGAAATCTGTGATAAAGCATGGCAGAAAAGTCCATTTTGAACAGACATCATTCAGACACTGTTGGGAATGAACAACGTCAGGCCGCAGTAAATCTTCTAAATTAAAAACAAGATCAACATTAATGTCAATCAAACAAGTTTAAAAAAGCCCCAGAGCTAAACACCTTATGTTATGATATGCTATGCTACAGGAAAGAAAACAAAAATATTCTTCCAATCATCTATTTCTGACAGCTGTAAATAATACATACATGTCTGAGGGAGTGAGTTGAGATAAGCAGCCCACACACATAATAACACACATAACAACACACACACACGCTGTCCTACCTCCTCCAGCTGGTGTCTGGTGGTGGTGACAGATACACTGAGCCATATGGACAGCTGTCAATGTGAGATCTCAGGTTAAGAAAATACTTATGGAGACGGAGAGTCCCTGCAGATTCAGTGCCAACACTGTAAACATCCTCCCAGGTTTGTCACTGGAAGCACCTCGATAGTTAGTCACAGGATGTTAATGACCAGATGTGAAATCATCTAATGATCAAAATCATAAATGATTTCACATCTGATCGATGATGGGCAGGTAGTGATGGGAATGGAGCCGTACCAGCTCCCAATGGTCTAATTCCCTGGAATCATTTGTCTGCGTGCCTTAACGATTCCACTTACAAAGACTAATTTGCTTCATGACATCATCAACAACAGGATACACAGTCTGACGGATGGTGGCACTAAGAAAAAGTGGGGAAATACCTCCGGCATTCACAACGACACTGTACAATTAATTAACGATCCATGTGCCGTCTTTCCCACCATGAATAGCAATGATGCTAATGGCTCGGGGCAGAGCTTAATCACAGTGTTCTCGGTTTAAAATATCCCATGTAATGTTCTGACTCATCCAGGTCCTGTATGTGTTTATGTTAGTGACATTGTTCATCCAGTACTCCATCTCCTGTAATCACAATTCAATGACAAAGACGAGATGCCTAGAGCGGAGTCGCCGTCCGATTTTCAAAAACAACAGTAAAATGAGTACTCAGATTTGTCAGTTAGAATTAAAGGATATATGGCGTCCATGTTTGTCGACAGACAGGGGTTTCCGATGCGGTGACGTTATGCGGTTCCGGTCGCGGTACACTCTCTCCACTAACCCATGATGTCGGGTCAATTTGTTCATATCCAGCCCTGATTTCTGCCATACAAAAAACAAACAAAACCCATACATTTGAACTAGGTTCAGGCCAGTGAACACTCCTGCTCAGAGAGAAAAACGTAGGAAGCAATTTTGACGATACATATTTAAAATACTAATTTCAAATAATATGATATAATGTGTAAAATTGTACTGTAATGTGTGTAACTTTATTTTGTAATTAGTTAAGATACAGAATACAAACATTTTAAGGTTCATTGAATCAATATTTCCTCACCTCGAAGGTCACATCCATGCTACTGTTCCCAATTTGATTGACATTTGGCAAAGATCCTCCGTAGTACTGTCCTCTGTTTGGTCCCAGCTGCAGATACTGAGTCTTCTGCAGCTGCAGCTGAGAAAAACATCAAGAAATTGGACGGTTTTCAGTAATAGTTGATTCATGATTCATGATAGCTTCCTCTCATTAAAAATTATGGAATTCATTTACAAATACGGCTTCAGATATTAGCAGTATACATGTTACCCAATAAACGGTATCACTTAACAATAAATAGTTAATGAGTAGAGTGTCGTAGCCTGAATAACTATCCCACAAATTCTTAAAAATGTATGGAATCTATAAACAAGCTCATCGACAATAACTAGAGAATTGGTTAACCATGAAATGGCAAGAAACACAAATTAGCGTTGCCTTTAATATCCTTTTGTCTAAGATGCCAAAAGAATTAGATATTTGGCACAAACACTACATGAGTAACAGTTAAAAATAGTAATAAATTTGATCTTGTACACGGCGTGTAATTGAATTATATAAAAGATGTGTATTGTTTAAGACTGTGGAGAACTGGAAGTGAGGCACTGTGGAAGTTTTTGGCCAAAGTACTCTTGTGATTTTCTGCCAACACCCTCCTCAGAGACTGGTGACAGTGTTTACTTCACAGCAACCTGCAGATCGGCATCCCAAAAGAAAAGCCAGAATCCTTCAATTAAATATTCTCATGCAGGCTCACGGCTCACTGTTGGCAGCGGGGAGTTGGGGGCGGGGGGTCCACTGAAAACAGTTACTGTGCCTGAATTGCTGGTGTGTTTTCACAAGGCTCAGGCCACAGAGTGTGTTTGCTTAAAACACATGTAAACCTATAAAAGCCTATAGTAACGTCCCAGGATCAGGAAGAGGGCCAGACCCTCATCTTTGTAAACACCACAGGTACGAACAGGAGGAGAAAGAAGGAGGGAAGCTGAGGCTGAGAGAGAGGACAGCTGGGAACATTTTTTTAAATTAAATGTTGTGCTATAACACTATAAATCCTGCCAGTATATTGAGAGTACATACTGGTGGGCCAACTATAGTACAAATATGATATGATCTCCCAGGGCCAAATATAATAACACCATGGGCCAGATCTGGTCCCCGGGCCTGAGTTTGACACATGTGCTATAGACAAACATTTTTGTAAACCTTTACTTTAAAATACCTTTTAACAGACATTAAAATTAGAATATAAAGCAAATAGATAAAGAGACGTAGAAGACTATATCTATATAATAGATTATAATATGGAAATATATATGTGGCAAAATTTCGTGTTATTCTTATGCAATTAATGGCTTTAACTTTATTTATTTATTTATTTATTTGAATTGACATTACATTCCACTAAGAAAACCTAACCTGTCACACCGCAATCTATTCATAACGTCACTAAGAAAGATGTTTGTTTTTTTTTAACTACAGATCCAGTTAAAGTCAGAGCAGCAGAATGTGGGTTTTCCCTACTGTCGTGTATCCGCACTGCCCACACAGCAGCAGTCAGGCCTGTGGACCTGTCAGACAAGTTTATTTACACAAAGCCGACACACACCCTGGAACAGGGCAACAATTACACACGATCACTGACAGATCAGGTCAAAATACACCTGTGATATTTGTGGGACGTCTATCAGCGATGCTGGGGCGACACGCGCTGTCAAACACGCGTGGGATACACAGGGAAAAAAAGATGTTAGAATAACTTTTTTCTCCCTCCCAGACAGGGGTCGATTTAAATATCACGGCACCTCCTGACAGCTTCTCCCCCCAGTCCCTGCAGGAGGTAAAGGAGGAGCAGGAGACTGCAGCCGCAGCAGCAGCTGATGTGGAGGAGCAGCCGTTTGTTATTGTTTACCTCTGAGCACTGGCTGCATGCAGCTACAGAGCTGACAGCTCACTGAAAACAAACGGGGAGGAGGAAGAGGAGGAGAGGAGGTTAATAAGAAGGAGACGCTGCTTCCTTACCCTCGCTGCTCGTGTAATGCTTAGGTCCTTCATCACCTCCTCAAAGGCCGCCGTCTCCTCCGCCTGCTTCTGGTTATGTAGAGCGATTTTCTCGCTAAATTTCCTCGGATTGTTCCCCGTCGCCATGTTTCGCTCCTCTGCTTGGTTTTCACCTCGCTGCTTCTTTGTCAAGTTAACGGAAATCAGGAAATGCAGGACTTCCGGTTAGGATGCTCAATTTAGGTGCGACAACTGACTATACCCTAACCGTCTGAATGTATTTCTGTCTGGAAAAGGACATAAATCTTAACATTGTGTCATCGGGGTCTGATTTGAACTGTGCAACAGCAGACACTGGACATCTGTGTTGGTCTTTCTTGAATTATTGGGTAATTAAAAGAGCGTATTACATGTAACTATTACTTTTTTATGTTTTTCTTTATTGAAAATATGGAAAATCTGTAGAACAGAACCAGCAGCTTTTCTGCTCCAGTTTAATACAATACATTATGTATTTTATAGAAAACACTATTATAAAATAATTGTAAATTTGTTTTGCTATTTTTGGTTGTCTTTCAGCTACATTTACATGATCCATCTTGTAACCCCCCCAAAAAACAACAGAATTTAATAATACTAACCTGTTAGTATTTTTAAGCTAACCCTTTCATAGTTTAGCATTGTAAATATCTATAGATATTTCATTAATCACTGAAAACAATAATGTAGGTTCACCACCTGTTTGTTGTGGGCAGTTTTAGATATTTATTTTCCCTTTCTCACAGGATTCTTTGAGGACCTAAACTAGTTCTGGTCAAACTGCAGTAACCACTGACCCTTGCAGGTATCATAGTAAATCTCATCCTGAAGGTCAGAGAGAGCAAACTACAGCAGGTCAACAGACCCTGATCCTTTACCAGGTGTCAAAGCTCTGACAACCACTGCAGATGAAAGGGAAAGGGGGCACAGGTGGATTAGTGGTCAAGGAAGCAGACTTGGGTCCAGGAGGTTTTCCTATTCGAGTCCACCAGCTGCCAAGTTACCACTGAGGTGCTCTGAGCATGGCACGTCACCTCACACTGCTCCCAGGACAGCGTAATGCTGCCCCCTGCTGACTTAGGTTAAAAACAGAGGTCACATTTCGTTGTGTGCTGCTGTGTCACAATGACAAATAATTCACTTTCATTCTTTCTTAAAGACAGCTGGACAAAGCCATTTAAGTATCTAAGATCATCCACGTGTGGTTTAGGGAGAAGCTCTGGTCGCTGCTAGATCAAATGCACATGTACATGTAGCGGTATATAAAAGACAGACACATCCACTGATGTTAGAATCAATTTTATTGGCTCATTTTGTCAAAAGAATTGGTGTTTTGTCTTTAACGAACAGTTTAACATTTGATAAAAAAAGGACAGACAATATAAATTACAAACAAGAAATGAAATATATATTTATATCTATATCTTTACATCATTTAAATAAAAAAGGGGAACGTCCACAGCAACAACACTCAAGTGATGACAAGACAGACAATGCCACAGTCAAACAGTAAAAACGTTTCTGACAAGACAGACAGTATTTCTTCATACATTATGTACAAAACTCATGTCTCTCATTGTCTCGTAAGGAGTCAATATGACTTACGTACATCATCTGAATCTGTACAGCGTGAAGTCCATTCAGATTTCTGGACAGAATAGCGCAGAATACGTACAATATGTGAAAGCCTGGAATGATTTCAGTCGTAAATGTTGTATACAATAATACAATGTGAGCGCAACAGTATGAGCTCAGTGTAATGCCTTAAAACCCTTAAAACCTTACGTCATTATGACTTTTGTTCTAATTAGTCTGGATTTGGTCCACGTTTTGAAACACCTCACTCCAACACGGCCCTACACCTAGTAAAAGCAGTTGTTTATTCGTTTTGGTGCCGAGTGTGTTCTTGAACCGCTGATCACGCACAAGTCTAGTGACGGGTCTCCACATGTTGAAAATGTTCCATGGCTGACAACACAGCCGACAAGCCCAGACCTGCAGGGAGCCCCTGCCTAACACAGAATTTCCAAAAGTAAGCTTGATATATATATATATTTATATCTATAAATATATATAAAACCTGTCTTCTAAACCAATGAAAATTGAAGTGAATTCTTTTTGTGTCTATTTTCTGTGTTCTACCAAACACCGTTAAACAACATTAAATTATTTCCTTTTTGTTTGTCACGTTTTTTTTCTTCCTGTTCTTTATGACTTGTTCTGGATGAAGGCAGGTGCGACCATCATTAGGCTGGACTTCAGAGGATAGTAGCGCCCTCTCCAGCTCTTCCAGAAGATGCTCTGCTTCCTCTGATGTCGCAGTTTGGGTGGTGGACTCTGGAAGTATCTACCGTTCAGGTTGGAGGAACCGCAGTTACTGAACCACCAACCACCTGAAAATACAAACATTTGTTCACAGTTAGATGCTGCATTCAAGCTCCAAGTCCTCGTGTCGGTGTGACTGACGTTTCTAACTCACCAGTAAGCTGCTTAGCGCAGTTGTAGTCCTTTTTCCGATCATTGTCCTGGTCGCTGGTGGAGAAGGGCAGACCTAAGGTGGCATCAGCTCCCAGGGACCTCTCTAGGATTCCGAAAGCACCGGCTTCCTCGACCTTGAGCGAGTATTTGGTTTCTTCTCCACCCAGTTGAAAAGGGAGACGCACTGACATCAAGTCACTGTTCCAGTCAGAGAGCTTGATGTTGAGAACGTAGCCTCCGTCTTTGGCAATGGAGTGTATCTTTTCAAGACCCAACCAGAACTCTCCTGAGGAAAAGGAAAAAGGAGGAAATTCAAACTCTAGCACTAACCGTTCACAGTGTGACATTTTATGTTATTTTGATTAATCTTTCTGGACTAACAAGGCTCTACAACCTCAATCAGTGATGAAGTCAATGTAAGTCATCAAAGTAGTTAGAAGATTTACCATTCAAAGTGCCGAAGCCTTTCTCGTAGGCTTGCCATTGCTGGTTAAAGTCAACAGAGCCATCCTGACGTCTTTGGACCACCGTCCATCCACCGTCTGGTTAGGACCACAGAGAAGACATGTAGTGAGCACCAGTCCAAAGAATAGTTCAAAAATGTTTTGTAATTCAAAATGGAAGTTGTGTTATGTCCACCTACCAGCTGTCATCTCACAGAAGACTTTGAAAGGCTCTGCGTTGATTGGCTGGATGGTGTAGATGCCACTGGTGGTTTCTCCTCTCAGGAACAGTTCATGACAGTCTGATGGAAGTTCTAGAAGAAAACACACAACAACGATGATGAGGTAAAGAGTATCACTATGTCAGAGCGCCTTTGTCCTACACTGACGCTTGACCCTATATTTTTATACGACACATTTAATATGTGTTTGTCTTGAACTTCATATATTTGTGATTGAGCTCTTGTTTACTTGAACTACATTTCATTCAGTATGTAGGTCAGTGACAGCTGAGGAACCTCTCACTGACAGCATCAGCCAAGTGTTTGCAAATACAACACAATCTCCAGTAGAGGCTCTTATCGCCGTGACTGGAGATGTTGATGCGCGTGCGACACAACCTTTGACCCAGCCGTAACACGCCAGTAAGAGATTCCTCTGTGTTGGGTATAAATATGACCTTTGTCCCAGTTCCCAGTAGACCGCAGTCCCCACAGCTGCTTGGGTTGTGCTCTGAGTCTATTGAGTTACACGCTACAACCCACATTACTATGTCCTCCCACCCCCTTTGCTGGTCACACCTCCTTCACGTGCACAACATCCACATAGTGATGGAGAAGCGCATGGCTGCTGCATGTGTGGGGAGTGATCAGAGGGTGGGGGGAGGACAGGAGCTGTGGCTGCTGCGGGAAGGCATAATAGGAGACAGCAGGAGCGCAGAGCTGGAGCCAAGTGAAGCTTTGATAGGACTACACATTCATAGCATTTTCTATTATGATGCATGTCACACCATTCTAATGAACTGAAGCCTATTATTCCGAGTTTTGGATTTGCTGTGATCCATTGTTAAGACACCAGCTTGTGTGTCGTGAACTTTCCCTGGAGGCATGAACTTTTGTTGTGGACACTCTGGGCCTCAGGGTTCGCCTGAACTTTAGTATTCTTCTTAGTCATGCAGCAGTGATGAGGGAGAAGGAGATGAAGTAAGTGTAAGGTAGGGAGTTTCGGTGCAGGGATGGGGGAGGAGAGGAGAGGAGAGGAAAGGAAAAGATGACCGAGGTGGAGGAGGGGAATGTCTGACTCCTTTACAGATCTAGGGGAAAGGTGGCTCATTCTTTAGGGATCCACAAATGTTTGTTTTTGCACAAAGAGGTTGGATTTCCAAAGGAAAACGTGTGGTGGGTGGGCGGCTAGGGCGGGGGGCTTTGAGACAGTAAAAGATATCTGTACAGAGTTCAGAGACAAATTTAGACCGTTCCCACTTGTTTTCCTTTGTTTTATTTGTTGGCTCAGACACAAGGCCAGTAATCTGAGGAACATTGCATGCTAAGATTTGTACAAAGCCTTCCTTTGCTTACCCCGCTACCAGAAATGATCAATGTGAGTAATCCCCCTGAGCCCAACGACCTGGACTGAACACTGTGTGAGACTTGTGAACTTTACCCCAGTTGAAAACTCGCCAGAAATAGAAAAAAAAAGTTTTCCTTTTTTTCCTCCTTTCCTGTAAATCCTGCTGATGTCTGAGCTCAGTGGTGGGATTTGGAAGTGCACCGTCTGACTGACCTCAGCTGGGTTCACCTTTTACCTAGTTCTCATCTGTGGCCATTAGAAAATCTAATCTGGGTTCAAATTAACAACACCTTTGTTGTGATCTTTTCAGTGTTATCGTGTGCTAAGAACTAAGACGTTTGACAAACAATATGGCTGTGTCTGCTTTTTTTTTTTTTTTTTAGCTTAGATGGGAGCGCCAGCTGCCTGTGGTCATCAATCACTGCTTCATACAGTTACTGTGAAGCACAGAGAAAGAAGGACTGACGGTAAGATTTCGATTGTTCACGGTCTGAATAAACCAGGGCGTGTACTGTACGTCTTATCTTCATTCACATGAACTCTCTTTTTGAGTAAATGTTGTTTTAGTTGAC